GGTCCGAAACCTTGCCCAGGAAAGTAGGGAATCCCACGCCGTAGTCACCCGGCGTTCCTGCCATAGTGGCATCCTTCATGAAGCCCAAGCCGTACTTGCCGGAGAAGAATCCGGAGCCCTCAATGAGGCCAATGAACCAGAGGATCTGCAGCCAGCCGAGCACCTTTGCGTTAAGACAGTCTGCGGAAATGCCCTACACACCCTTCTGGCACCGTGACGTTGTGCAGCTTTGCATACGACTCCGCGCTAGAATCTTTGTAAGGCCCGTGCAGGCACCTTGGAGATGGCAGCCAAGCCGTTTGGGACGTCGCTGAACTTCAATCCGAGGCTGGGGCTAAGATAGCCTCACAGCACAATTTCGAACATGTTTTGTGATAATGTATGATAGGCTTCTTGGCTGCAGCATGCCGCAGCATCACTACAAACGACAGACGGCGGTCCCGCATGGTCCCGCATGGTCCCGCCTGGGAACTTGTAGTACTCCGGAACAATATATCCCATAGTTGCATACCTGGATCATTGTCAGGATAGTTTCTACTGTGACGGTCTTTGTTCTTTCCTGTGATCAAAAAAAAGAAAAATGGAGGTCGTGAAAAATGTGATTCAACAATGGTAGAAATACATGGTCGGGATAGTTTCTCGTGTGACCGTCTTTGTTCTTTCCTGTTCTTAAATAAAGTACAATAGCCATGGAAAATGCGACTCAACAATGGCAGAAATACATGGCAACTCTGCCGTGCTTGATCTCCACCGCCCTGCGTCGGTTGAACGTGGCTGCATCGGCACCCTTGCTCAAGCCCAAGGGGTCCCAAAATCCCACAGGCGCTTGCACGCCGAGGTCTGTCGTCGACACGGAAGCGGACTGAGCTGAGCTGGACGAAGAGCCAGACGATGCGGTGAAGGATCCCGCTCCGGTGCCTCCACCGACGGAACCCATGCCGCCCTTCAGCATGATCTCTTGCGGGGATGCGCGGAGCTGCACGCCCCTCTTTGCGGCCTTCCCTTTTCGGATCCCCGCGGCTGCCGCAGCAGCACCAACCACAACGGCTCCGGGGCCAAGCATCGAGGATGAGGGAGCAGAGGATGCAGAGGCTGGAGCTTCACCTCACGTCTTACCCAAGTCTCATGCCCCGAACTCTCAACCTTACTTACTGGTTCTTAGTGGGGAATCAAGGAATATAATCCCTATATGAACCCCATATATAACGAATTCCGTGATTCCCTACGACCTAAACCCCAAAAGTATGTAAAATAATAGCCCTAAACCCATAATAATAGTTTCAAAGGCCATTATTTTACATACTTTTGGGGTCCAGGTAACCCCAATAGATAAACCCTCAAAGCACTGTCAATGGGACTTAGCACCCGGCCGCTGCCGCGCAGCGACTGGACATGGCTCACGCCTCAGCAAATGCCCGATCTGCTGCTGGGAATAAGGGAAGAGATGGGGGTTATATGGGGATAATGGAAAAGAAAATGGAGGCTACCACATATAGACTATATGGGGGGTTTCCCAAAATTAGGGTAGATCTTATATTTGGATAATGGAACATCAAATGGAAAAGAAAATGGAAAATGAAATGGAAACTGGGATTATATAGGGGTTGATGGGGATTAGGGTTTCCCAAAATTAGGGGTCCCTTTTTGGGGGCCCCAATAATAAGGACTATAGTATTTTGGGGTCTATATTAGGGTTCCCCTCAATTTGGGAAACCGCCATATCGAGGTCCTGTAGGGATAACAGAGAAGGAAATGGAAACTTCTAGATTTTAGCAGGGTATATATTGCGGTTATATAGGGACAATGGAAAAGGACATGGAAACTACTACATGATAGTAGGGTATCAACTGGGGGTTATAGGTATACTTGAAAAGAATATAGAAACTATTACATTGTAGTGGGGAATGTGTTTAAAAGTGGCGTCATACCGGCTATCGTTAAACCCCCTAGCATCCGCCTTAGTCACCTATAACACTCCCCTATAGAATTAATGCCCTATAACACCCCGTTTAAGGAGTTTAGACTCTAGCTCATATAACCCCAATTTATACCCAAGTATAATTCTGTACTTTCCATTTTCTTGTCCATTATCCTGAGATATTTCCCAGTCTATACCCTACTCAAATGCAATGTTGCCACCCCGAACCCGAAGTCCTAAACCCTAAATCCTAAACCCATACCCTGGACCCAAAACCCTGAACCTTAAACCCTGAACCCTAAACCCCAAACCCTTGACCCTGAACCCTTAAGCCTAAGCCCTGAACCCTGAACCCTAAACCCTAAACAACCCTAAGCCCTAAACCCTCAAGTCCATATAAACTTACCATTACTCAGGGTACCCAAATTTCCTTAATTTTAAAAAGTTCAAAAGTTCAAAAACCAAAATGACCCCCCCCCCACCCTAAGTAATGGCAATAAACCCTAAACCACCCTAAACCCTGAACCCTAAACCCTAAACAACCCTAAGCCCTAAACCCTACACCCTAAACAACCCTAAACCCTAAACCCTGACCCCCAATCCCTAAACCCTGAACCCTAAACCCTGAGCCGCAGGTCTGAGATTCAGGCCATTCTGGGTGGGCAGCGCAAAGGCGCTGGAAAAGGACTGCAAGGCCATGGCCTTAGTCGGCATGGTGACACGTCTTCACCTAACCCGCACCTAGTTTAGGGTTTAGGACTTAGGG